CCCCAAAACCCCAAAACCCCAAAACCCCAAAACCCCAGGTTGTAGAAGCAGAATTGAAATATTTATATTTTATTTTGTAGCAATTAAGCTATGCCTGGGATATTGCTTTCTGCCTTTCAACTGTCTGCTTGAGTTTGTTCATGTACTCCACCTCTTCGAGCTTCATCATTTTGATGTACTCTTTGTTCCTTAAGAGTTTGTCGTTGTTTTGCTTAATCTTTCGCTCGAATTTTTCAAGGGCTGTTTCTTCTCTCTTCTTGTGGGTATCTATCTTTCTTTGTATTAAATCCTTCTGGAATTTTAGGATGTTGTCATGAAGCTTTTTACGTCTCTGGAAGTCTCTCATTTTAAGCATTTCTCCTTCCATAATATGCATCTTTTTGGAGAGGTTTATCTTTTCAATGATTGCCTAAAATTAGAGTAATTCTGTACCTTGTTTTTATTCTTCGCTTTCTCACGGATTTCACTGTAATTTTTCCTTCTTTGGGCGTACATTAATTTGTTCTTTTCGCGATCTTTTAGGATTTGTTGAACTCTGTGATGAATGATTATAAGAGGCTTACTGCTTGTTATTTTTCGTACATGATTACTTCCTTGTTCTGAATAAATTGATCTCTGACTTTTCTAAATAATTAATAAGTGTTAACACATCTGTGTTACTTTTTGCTCATATTAAGGACTTCTTGATTTTTAATGTTACTCTCAGTCCTCATGATATCCTTCTTCAGTTTCTCAATTCTATTTTCTAATACTTTCACATTTTGGTCACTTTCTTTAATCATTCACACAGATTTCCACATTGCAACTCCTTTAAAGTCTCTACAAAATCAATCAAAAATCAACTAATAAAAATCCCCTAAAAATCTATAACCCCTCTAAACTCATAGAATTTAATTCCATCATCAAATAACACATCAAAACACTTCTAGACCACTTTTAAACCCTAGTTTTACCTTTTTCTTTGTTTTAATGCAGTTTTAGTATGCTCTATAGATAAATAGGAGGATTTACTTCTATTAGAACTCATTTTCGAGAGATTAGTAGTGTTATAAGTGGAATAAGTGAAGTTTTGAGAGTCAGAGGGTTTGGGAGATGCTGGCCTTGGGTTCTAGAAAGGATTAGAATTTTGGGTACTTTAGGATTGGGAAGATCTTGGTAGGCATTTTTGCTTTTTGATCGACTTTGGGACCTTTTGGAGGAGTTTAATGGCAAGCTCGTGCTGAGGAGTCTTCTAGATGGGGTTATAGATTTTTGTGAGAGTTTTAGAAGTTGAATTTTGTTTGAAATAATACCTGGAAGTGTTGTGCTTATGTCTCCAATGAAAATCATAAGAAGTATTTCTCTTATTAAGATTTCCTTTATAACTTCTTCGCATATTTCTCTTGCTATCTTTACTCTTGTCATACATAGATTCTTTCCTTGAGACGTAAGGGAAGAAAATATTGACATCAAGAGCTCCGATATCTAGTTTTACCATAAAAATTTATTTTATTTAACCGGATTGGGGTTTTGGGGTTTTGGGGTTTTGGGGTTTTGGGG